GAGCCAGCGGTCTCGGGTTGTGAGAAGAATGTCCCACTGCTGGTTTAGGCCTAATCCCTGCAGGACATCCCCCAAGGGTCCCAGACTGGGAGAGGGCACAGGTCAGGCTGAGGGACCCCCGCTTCCCCCTGAGTGCACAAATTTTTGTACACGGGGCCTCTAGTCTATATATATAAAAGCCTAAGTGACCATTATGACCAAATGACATGCACTGACCACCAAGGGGCAGACCCTCAATGCAGGAGCTGCCCCCTGGTGGTCAGAACGCTCCCAGAGCAGGAGCACTGCTCAGCCAGAAGCCATGCTCACGGCTGGCGAGCGCAGCTGCAGTAGCAGGAGCCTCTCCTGCCTCCGTGGTAGTGTTACCAACCCATGGTGGCAGGTGCGGCAAGGCCAGGATGAGTGGCAATGGAGCTGTGCCCTGCCACAGCTGGGGCTCCTCCCTGGCCACCTGTTGCTATATCCTTTGGGGGGATGTCGGACTGCCAGGTTTCAAAACCCTAGCAGTCCAAAATCCCCTGAGGGGTCCCGGTTTGCGAGAAGGCACAGGCCAGGTTGAGGGACCCCACCTGTGCACGAATCCATGCACCAGGCCTCTAGTTTTTTATATTTACAGAAAAGCGTTAACATAGAAGGGAGGGGTTGATGTGAAGAAGGCTCAGGCCTGAACTAAAGTTCTTTAAGGAGATAGAAGTAATCTCTCCCCTATACATAGCTGGGGACAATCTTTGCACAGACTCCAGCCCCAGTTTATCTGAGAGGCTGATTTTGATTGAATTTATTGTCGTTTTTTTAAATAAAATTATGTTTACATTTATTGTAGTAAACTTTATAAAGTTCTTTGCACAATATAGACTTACAACTGCAAAAACTAATATCACTGAAAATACTCATAAATTAAAAAAATAAAAACAAGACAGCCCAGACTGCATTGCTCAGTGTTTGAGCATCGACCTGTGAATGAGGAGGTCACAGTTCAATTCCTGGCCAGGGCACATGCCCGGGTTGCAAGTTCAATCCCCACTGTGGAGCGTGCAGGAGACAGCTGATCAATGATTCTCGCCCATCATTGATGTTTCTATCTCTCACTCTCCCTTCTATGAAATAAATAAAAAATATATTAAAAATAACCAAGACAGAAAAATTGGGCTAGTCCATTTCCTTTTAAGAATTTGAAATAACAGTTGTGATTCAAGTGAGATGATAAGGATTGTATAACTGTGGGACCATTTGTTTATAATTTCTAGCATGACGGGGCGGTGCCCCATCATGGGTTGCATAGACTAGACACAAGGCAGAATAATGATGCATAAAATACCACTAAAAAGTCCATACTATAGTCCTAAATATCAGACCTTATTTGTAGAGCAAGCATGTCAAACTCGAGGCTGGTGGGCCACCATGCGGCCTGTCATCCTTGAGTTTGACATGCTTATTATAGACAAAGCTTTAGAAGATTTCAAAATTTCTTTGATTTAGAAAAATTGGTCATATTTACATAAAAAGGTCCAGGCTCTTTATTGTAATAAGAGTCTTAAAAATTGAAAATGCATAATGAAAGGCTAAGCAGCAGCTATGCTGCTGTCTTTGAAGATGAAGGAAGGGGCCATGAACCAAGGAAAGGCAGCCTCTAGCACAGGGGTGGGCAAACTTTTTGACTCGAGGGCCACAATGGGTTCTTAAATTGGACCGGAGGGCCGGAACAAAAGCATGGATGGAGTGCTTGTGTGAATCAATATAAATTCAAAGTAAACATCATTACATAAAAGGGTACGGTCTTTTTTTTTTTTTTTAGTTTTATTCATTTCAAACGGGCCGGATCCGGCCCGTGGGCCGTAGTTTGCCCACGGCTGTTCTAGCATCTGGGAAAGGAGGAGGATGAATTCTCTCCAAGTGTATCCTAAAGGACTGAAATCAGCCTTCC